TAACTTGTATTTGGAAGATACTCTGTTTACATCACAATGATACATTTCACTGTATGTGATGTACTTTGTATATATACAGTCATAGCTTCAAGGCTTTTCTAAAAATGGCTAATTTCAGTTTTGTTCTTTTCAATTGTTGCAAGGAGTTTTTATCTGTATTTGTCTTCAAACTCTGAAGATAGACCTGTACCCCTATATGTATCCTTAACTTCTCATATTTAAATGGGTATGCTTCATTTTATGGGTCACTGATTTGGCAATAGTTAAGACTTGGTAGACAACAAATACAAGGAATCCAACGTATCTTTTTGGTACGTATTCTTTCTTTGTTTCTAATACTATACTATTTTCTGTCTTCATTGTCGAGGAGGTAATTTAGGAAAGATCAGGGTTTAGTCTCTTAGTTTACTTTTAAGACTTCACTATTTTATTTAAGATTTCACTATTATAACTGGGTTTTAAATGCTATTTCATATTTTACAAGTTTTGCATATATTATCTCATTTGACCCCAATAACACTCTAGCAATAATAAATTGCTATTTTCTATTTTTATAGAAAAAATAAATTATTATTTGCAATTATGGTTAAAATAATCAGCTTTGAGATAGGTTCAGCAACGTACAAAATAACTAATATTTTGTGAATGATTGATATGTTTTTAGACACTGTGCTAAGCATTTTATAAACATAAAGTATTTTTATCACACACATCCCCTTATATTTTACATTTTATAAATGATAAAACTGAGGCTTAGGGACATTAGGTGGCGTGCCCAGAGTCACAGTGAGCATGCATGGCCGAGCTGGGGTGCATGCCCGTTCATCTGAACCCAGAGACCATGTTCTCCTGGACACTGTGTTTCTGGATGGTCCGTAAGCCAGGACCCTGAGACTCAAACCAACCCTTTTTGTGAATCTATGCCTTCTTTAATTTAAACGTATGGTCTTATTAAAGAAAAACAAAAAACTTAAACTCTTGGTGAAAAGAAACTTGACATTTCTTTTAACAGTATTACAGCTCCTTTTGAGTTCTAACATTTAGAGCTATGTGTTCAATTGGGAACAATGTGCTATTTCTGTGTACCCCCTTTGCTCTTGGCAAGTGCTCTCTTGCTGGTGTGAAGATGGAAATATGTTCAGCTCTAAGAGTACTCTGCTAGGAGTAAATTTCTGGTCTATGGGAATGGTAATAACTATAATGTTGCTTAGTAGATTCAAAAATATCTTAACGGTGATGGAAAAATAAATAAAAGAAAGAAAAATTCTTAAAATTTAAATACAGGAGAGAAATAGCGTGTTTTGTAGAAAACTGAAATTAGCTTTATACTTGGAAAGCAATTTCATATGACCAACCTGCCCACCCAACAATATTCCCTAAGACATAATGTCTCACAAACTGTACAATTGACATGCAGTTAGCAGAATGTTGTTGCTAGGATTCAAATAGCAAAAGGCAGAGCAGCTGTGTTGGGACTCTACTTTGGGTTTTCTAGTCTGGTTGTCACATGCGTCCCCTAATTGCATCTTCTCTTTTGGCCATGGAATTCCTTCACTGGAGTTTCTTCTATGGTCATATACCTTTCTTCTACCTGAGTAAAAGAGGAAGCCTTTTCTTTCAGTGGAACAATTGAACTTGGTAACAATACATAAGGGTTCATGTCCTAGTTTTGCCCATAGTAGTTGAGTAATGGGAGCGCTCTTTCCTCTCTCTTGAAGTCACAGTGCTGCTGTGATCACAGTTGAACAAACCACAGATAGCCCAGCCTAGGCAGAAGGAAGGTGAGACATAGAAAAATGCTGTAAGTGATCTTGTGTATCTGGTTTATCCACATTGGGCATCAGACTTTTCATTGCCATAATTTGTGGTATAAACCATGTCCAGAAATATAAATATCCCTGGAGAACATAGCTTACCATCTGATTTTATGAAGTCAATAAGAATTATTTGACAATGAATTTTTAATTTGTTCCCTCTAAGAAATGGACTTATTTCCCTTCATCTCTCTATCTTGGCCAAAAGAATTATTCTGCTCCAGTTCAGATGAGTTTTTTTTAAATTATCCAGGTTTTGCTTCTTTTTTTTCTGCTTGTCTCAATTTGTACAGAAATAGGTTGTAAACATTTGTTGGTCTGCATTTTCAACACCTCTCTCTCTTCCTACTGATATGAGAACAGTGATTTTGTCTTGGAGGACTTACTCATTGGATAAGAAGCTCTGTGTTTATTAATTAAGGGGCCTTCTCTTTTCCAGGCAAAGGGCCCACTATCCAAACCAGCTAGATTCTCTTTTCTTAGAATTTGATTCCTAAAGCTAAGAACCAAAAACAATAAAATGGTCAAAGCTGAATGGTCCTGTTGGTGTTGCCCCCAAAATACATCTCATTAGTTCTTAATTCCAGATACTTGTAGCTGCTATTCCTGAACTATTTCAGCTGATATATGGTATATTTCATAGAGGAAGGGAGAGAGAGATAGAAACATCAATGATGAGAATCATTGATCAGCTGCCTCCTGCATGCCCCCTACTGGGTATTGAGCCAGCAACCCTGGCATGTGCCCTGACCTAGAATCAAATTATGACCTCTTGGATCATAAGTCAATGCTCAACCATTAAGCCACACCAGCTGGGCTGAGCTAAATTATTATTAATAATTTAATAATATTAAATTATTTAATTTAAATAAAACATTAAAATTATTTATTTTAATTTGATATTCTACCAATTACTAATTCTCTAAATGCTATGGGCAGCACTTTTCAGTTGCTTGCCAAAGATTCTAACTGATATAAGATTATAATTTAATTGTTAATTCACATTTTATTTACAGTTGTGTGGGCCACAGATGTACCTAACAGAGTTTTCTTTCCATTTATGTGTCTATCTGTGCCTGTCTTTGGATTCAGTTTTTGTTCTAATTTGTCTGACCCTACTGCTATTTATGGAAAGAAGAATATGTAAAATTGTTGTAGGGTCTATATTGAAACTAATTCTTACACTGGACAGAAAGAAGAGATACAATTTATTTTCTATGCATCATCTTGCCTCACAACTCATTTAGGCTGGTTGTCTATTGGCTTCTCTCCTGTAGGTGTGTACACTGCTAAGTGCTTAGCATAGTACTATCTTGAATGGTCACTAATGCTCAATCACTTTGAGAGTTCTGATGCATTATTCAGGGATTTAAGTCAAGCCTAGGGACAACAAGGAGTTCTCTAAGGAGGAGGCAGAGTTGACTGTGTTAGTTGCTTTGACACCTTCAAGGCGATATTATATTTATTGGTGTTGGACCAGTAGTATTACATGAAAATAGCTGGGTTCTACATAGACTGTCCAAATATGGTGTGTTGAAATGAGGAGATTCTATTCAGAAAAAAAGTGAGATATGTGATGCACTGAGTAGCAATTTTAAATAACTTGAAAAATAACTGATCTTTTTTAAAAAAAGTTAAAAATCATTAACTGAGAGAGTTCCCAGTTGCAAACACAATGCTAGAACTTAAGTGAAAGGGATATGGAAATGAATATTATTAAAATACTTTTTTTTAGCCATAGCCACTCACCAGGAAAGTTTCACTAGTCTTGGATTCAAGCTTAAACATGAATAGCATGGATTTAAGCACCCATATATATGCAATGATTTCCATGCTTGAATAGTTATTATTTAAACAGTACAATGTTAATAATCTAAATCACAGCAATTGCCATATTGTTTCCACTAATTCCAAAATTCACCTTATCTTTGGAATATATTGGGTAATAAAGGTAATGATACTACTTGCTTTTATTGGTTTCTTGGCATTCACACATTAGGAGGCTTAGTGCAAAAAATCATGTTTTAGAAACATACTTTTCTTTAATACAGGACAACTCTTTGTTCTGATATAAGATGCTTGGACTTGCTTTATGTTTTCCTATTTTAAATCATCATTGTATTCTCTGGAAAGGTGAATACTAGATAATCTCTAGTTGGGTGAATTTCTGAATACCTCTAGCATCTTGCAGAAAAAAATCTTCTGTGTTCAAAATTGTATGTAACAAATTATCAGGACTATAACCAGAATTCTTAGCATAATACACATCTATATGAGGTTCTTGTTATACAAGAAAACTTAGCATAAAATAACTGACAAAAGTGAATTTCCTAAAATAAGGTCAAAATTTAATAGTAATGTTAGAGTTTGTGGGGGTGTGATTGAGGCTTTATCATGAAAAATAAAACTAACAATATAACTAATTTTATTCTACAGTTAGCAAACTATGGGCTTCAGGTAAAATTAATAGTTATTAAATATAAGATTGCATAAGCATTATTATTATTTTTACATTTAGACAAAACAGTGGCATGCTAGTACTGCATGACAGCTTAAATTCAACTTGGACTTTTGCAGCAACATCATAAAAAGGATCAATTTTACAAACTGTATTAGAGTGTCATCATTTTTTCCAAGAGCCACATTTTATGCTTTAAGATTCAAAGCATTATCATTTGAAGCACCTTGTTGATTTTCTCTTCTTCAACTGTTATAATAATCAGATGTGAGCACAAGCTTCAAATGAATCACCCTGAGCTTCATATGTCAGCAATATTGCCTGTGATGCCAGCAGTTGCTCCACCATCACTTATACTATTATTATATAACTAGAGGCCGGGTGCATGAATTCGTGTGCAGGTAGGGTCCCCCGGCGTGGCCTGCAGGGATTGGGCCGAAACCAGCAGTCCAATGCCGCCTGCTGGTCCTGCCTGCAGCTCCTGCTCATCCCAGTCCCGCTGCGCCGAGTCAGTCCTGATCAGGAGAGGCTCGCACCACTACAGCGGTACTTACCAGCCATGAGCCCTGCATCTGGTGCTCATGCCAAGGGGGGTTGGGGGGGCGGGGACATGATTGGCCCTCTGGGTGGGCGATGGGACACCCTTGACAGCCCGGGATCCGGATCCGTCCCGCTGATGTTCACACTGGTTGTCGGGAGCCACCTGGAGGCCACTTTGATATTGTTTCTTCCTTACAGAGTGTCTAGGGAAGGTAAGCAGCCATGGTGCCCAATGCCAACTTCCAGGAGACAGGCAGCACTGTCAGGATTGTGCCAGCGGTGCTGGTCTGTCAGTGCCTGACCCGTTCTCCAGAGATTGGACCTGCAGGACTACGGAGGGAGTGAGTGGCTGTCGTCAGGCTGATGGACCACCAGGATGGGTCAGTCAGCAGAGCAGCACTCCTACTGTGGGAGCACACTGCGTTGAGAGTCAGCCCCCTGGTGGTCAGTGCGTGTCATGGTGACCAGTCGTTTGTTCGTTCAGTTGCTTAGGCTTTTATATATATAAACTAGAGGCCCGGTGCACAAAAATTTGTGCACTCGGGGGGCGGGGGGA